GGTGGGCGGCGTGGGCGAGGAAGCCGGTGTCGGTCGGTCGGTCACGCGCGGGGCGATAGGGCGCGAGGGCAGCCTGCTATCTGCACCTGCCGCTCCGCTCACATGACCGCTTGCGTAACGCGCGATACGGCGCCCCCGCCCCCGCGGGGAAGCTTCAAGGCGACGCGGCGGTGTCGTGCACTTCCAGCTCAAGTCGTCGACGCGGCCCAGCTTTAAACCTTTCGCAACCAACGTCCTTTGACGAGACATGAGACCGATTTATAATGTTCGTTTATTCAAATTCAAAACTAGCGATGCTACGACTGCACACACTTTCTCGTATTACTTTTAAATTTGTAATTTTCAAAAATTCAGAGAGTACAACGAAAATTAGGCCCAAGCCATTCATTTCAGTGTCTCATCTTTTATCCTATTTCCTGACGTGAGGTTATTTAACTTTCTTTTCTTGGGAAGTAGATGCGAGGAAGAAAAAACGCTACGAATCACTATGTTCTGCTATTTCTGGATCTGTTTCAACTTTATCCAAAAGGCGATTAAGTCTTTCTTTTTTCCTGACATAACTCACTGCAGCCATTTCGCTAAAAACGAGTAATATTGTAATAAAGGTATATGTGCAACAAAAAAAGCTCTCTATGGCATATGTCAAATTTAAAACAGTGATTTACTGCGCACGCATTTTTTGGCAAGGGTCTAACGTGTAATTATCGAATTTTAGTCAAATAAAGTTGACAGTGAGATTTGAAATCCATGATATTTTAGTTGGAAAGATGGTTTGTGTCGTGGACGGCACGTAGATACGGAGAAGAATAATTTTAAAATATCTTCATCTTTCAGAGGGAAAAATAACCTGCTTTGGATGGGAATTCAGAATGGTGAATGATTGGAATTTTTAGGATGGCATAGAAGTTTCTGGGAGGAAAATAAAACGTATTTTAAATGAACATTTTGGAAAATACCGTTCGAATTCGGTCCATTTTTTCAGAATTTTTAGATGGCTCATTTTGTTTTATTTCCTCATTTTACTTTCTCTGTACAGAGTAGAGAGTTATATAATGCTGCGCGAAAAATCGGCGAATTTTCGGAAGAACTCTTATTACGGGCCCTAGTAACGAAAAAGTGGATAAATCCAGCTGGTGGTGTATGCAGAATCCTTGTTTTGTGGGTCCTCTATACCGAAAAATCGAATGATGGCAAAACGACTGACCGTCCGTCCGTCGGTGAACAACGCTTGTGGTTAAACCGTTCAGCCAATTTTCTACAAAATTGATACTCCTTAATCGATGGGGCTGATGTCGCAGCCTCTTTCATTTGCAACCGATTTTTCAATGTTATAGGTTTCAATGTAAGGATCTGGGACATTTTCCTAGTTTTGGAGACACACACACCGTCGTTTTTGATTAAATTTTGCTGTTAGATAGTCATGCCTGAAGGACGTTTAAGAGAATAGTGCGATTCATGATCGTTGAAAACCCTGATTTTCGGAAAATTTCAAAAGATCAAAATTTTTTCGTCGTTTTCCCACAACTAAAATGTTGAAGATGGATATATTTTTCCATAATGAAATCTGTTTTCCTTAAAGATAGGTTTTGAAATAAGGTACTGTACAAAAAAAATTGAGTACCACTAGTTGGTTGCTTATTTGATTTCTTGTTCAGCCGCGTGTACCTCGCGAGAGGAAGGAATGCTTTGACCACGTAGCTCTAGCAGTCCTTGAAGGCATCGCGCATGGCGAGCGCCTGCCGCCGCTTCCGCTCCGGCGGCGCGCACCTCCCCCTCCCCTTCACCTCGTCCTCCTCCTCCT